CCCCCCCTGTTTCGGCTCACACCCCTGCTGTCTCTTTTTTATGGGCACGTTATTAACATTTTATCGACGCGCGGTGGCCGGGATTTCGACAGTTTTTTTCACCTGCCCCCGTCCACCCCTAAATCGTCCTCCCATTTCACCCCATGCATGAAAATGATTTTTTTTTTCTCGCCCCTCTTCCCATTGAAAGCGCACGGCTTTTGACTGACGATTGTTTGCATTTGTCTCGTTACAGGTCTCAGCTCGACCGAGGAAAGACACGTGAGTAGAAAATATTTTGTTCTATTGTTTTTTTCTATATTTCCCTCGCTTTCTTCTGTACTCGCCATTATCGCTACTTTTTTTACTTTATCTCTCTCTTTGCCTTTCGAGCGAGCGAACGATTATTTACGAGTTATATAGACGAATTTCTCGAGTGATCGGAGAATTTTTGTACGAGAAACTCGCCGTTAATGAAATTTTGCTCTTTCGTTTCGCGTACTTTTATATTCGGTTGGAGTGCATTTAGTTTTTCTTTCGTTGCTTTTAACGAGTAATTTACGGGACGGTTGACGCGTGTACCGGCGCAGAAATCACGCTCAACGATAACGTCGCCGTTTCGAATTAAATTATTAATGGACGTTGAAGTGGCGGCGACGTGGCGCTTTTTGTTAGAATTTTCGAGCGTCAGAGATGCAGAGAGCGTGTGTTTGGGAAGTGAGAAATGTAAAGAGAGAGAGAAGTAAATGAGGGGAAGGGATGGAGAAAGGGACGAGCCGCGCTTTATTTTTCATGTGTCGTAATTAAGGTTTACTACGCAAATGAAATTATGTCAGCGTCGCTGTTTTATCGCGGATGAAACAATAATATGCGCCGAGATTTACGGACCCATATTTTCGCTCCGGTAAATATTTCTCCACTGAAACGCAGACAAATCATTTATCGAAATGTCGAGTTAACAATCGGATTATCCGTCGAACTTCTACGTACGATCTATCGCATAAATAAATAAATATGCGAACGGATGGGCATTTTTTACCGCTTATCCGTTCTCGCCGCTGTTTCCGTCTGAAATTTCCAAAGGATTTAATGACGTAGATAAATAAATCCAATTGAAACGAATCGAACGAACGACAAAAATCGTCTCTGTATTTTCAACGATTAAAATTGCTTCAACATCCGCGTCTCTGTTATTGAATTTATGACGCGCGATGTGCGTGCATTCAGCGTAGAAAGAAGTTCGTCTCTCCATCGGTGATATGTAATAAATCGACGTCACTTTTTCGATGGATAGGAATTAACAATAACATTTAACAATAATTTAAAGTCACGTTTAAAAATATCACGTTTCGTCCACTGTAACAATAAATATTTTTGATTTTATGTACTAACAGGTTCGTATATGTGTATAGTTTTTCTTTAAAACTGTCTATTTTCTTTTTTCTTTTTGTCCTTTTTCGATACAATCGCAGACGAAAAATTAAAATTTCTACGAAGTAAAAGTATAAACTAAGGTTCCTACGAAAAGAGGTATAACAATGTTTGAAAAAATAAAGACGTAATACAGAATTTGATATTTAGTAAGTGATCGTTACTTCTTGGCTTCTTGAACGTTTATTAATATTATTGAAGAAACAATCGTTCCTCTCTGACGCATTTTATCTCAAGGAGCGTATTTTAGTTAATCTTTCGTAGACAATTGTATCTCTCAAGGAGGTGAATCAAATCTGATATAGAAAGATAATACAAAACAATAAGAACGAAGTTCAGTCATCGCTAATGGTGTTTATTGGCTTCTACGAAACCTGTACATATCGTTTATGATGTTTTGCAACTGTTCTTATACCGTTACTAATATAATATAATATCTCAACTTTTAATATCGCCCCTGACATTTTTTAATTTAATTAAGCCACGTTAAAATATTTGAAATTTATCGATACATCTAGATTCGTTGGAAGACAAGTAGTTTATACAATAAAAATTGTCCAATTTTCCTCACTGACTACTTTATTTTATCCACATAATATCAGTTCACGTTCAGATAAATAGATTCGATCGACAAAAATCCATTTAATCGTACAATTAACACTTTGACTACCACGTTGGTCATATATGACCGGCCACGGTTTTTCCTGTGACACCACGTTGGTCATTTGTGACCGGAGCGTTTGAACTTCTTATAATTTAAAAATTGTATGAAAATTGACAATTAGGACATTTTGAATATAACCGATAAATAGAAGATACTTTGAAATAAAAAGTACCCCTTTGAACAATTAAACATTTTTATTAGAACATCGATAAAAAAAAATGAACAAATCTTGCATCTACAAATATTATTATAAACACACCTTAGAAAATAATCGTAAATGCTGTTTTATAATCATGTAATTGAAGTTACAAGTGTGCACATACCCTACTATTATATATAGAATGAGCAAATACTAATATCTTATACACGTTTCGACAATATATTCTGCACGTTTTGCTTACGACGAAACAACGAATGCGAATGGTTTGTTGAAATAAACAAAGCCTTGTTATAACATGTTAGCAAGGCGCCACGGTGGTCATCCGTGAGCACCAATAAGATAAACGGTCCATCGGGGAAGAATGTCGTCTTCCATCATCAATTTATTATTATTTTGCCATTATATGCTTTAAATAATAAAAATACTCCCGTGGCGTCCTGAGCGAAACATGATTTCGGCGTGGCAGTCAATGTGTTAACTAAAATTTCATTTCGTTTCTCCGAAGCTTCGAACAATATTAGCCGTACGTAGTAATGTTATCTGCTACAGTGTTAAAGGCAAACCATCATCCCAATAAATAAAGTCTAGATAAACGGAGTCCCACTTTACGGAATTTTCTTCGATGACGTAAATGATGCACTCGAGACAACTACATATTTCTAATCTCGGGGTTGCAGCATGAACACGCGGCATGTATACGCACCTACAACGTACTCGACGTACGAGCACTCGCAACGTGACCTCCTCAATCTCTCTCTCTCTCTCTCTCTCTCTCCGATTCCCTCTCCTTCTGCCGTGTATTACAGCTACATTACACGCGTGTAACTTTCCGTGCGCGTGAAGGGTACAACGAGTGCTTCGACGTACTTCGCTTACGAGCACCCACTGTACGCGCAATTATGTTTTCGACGAACGCGTGAGTGGTATAAAGTGGTGGACGTGAAAGAGGCCTGCATGAAAAATACCTAACCGCGGCTACTAAGAAAAGAGCGTGTGCTCTTTGCCTTTCGACTTCACTCGTTCCCGCATTTTGGTTCGTTGGACTGCAGTTTCAACGAACGCGGACCAAGGAAATTTTTCAGCTTCCCGAGCTTTCCGGTTCTATCGTGTTTACTTTTAGAAAAATTCTTTCCGAACGGAAATGGTTAGAGAAGAATATTAGTAGGTTAGTTGGTGGTTACGCTACGCTTTGAAACGTTTCGCAACAGAGTTGGTAATTTCGATGTATTTTTGTAGCATACAACTGTTTTACATCGAGGGTTTTATTTCGAAATGGAAAAAGTTAGAGCGATGTTTCCTTTCCTATTCTTCTTGTTTGTCATTGAACACGGCGCAAGAAACGTTATTCGCAAACGATCGTGAAATGGAAAGATTTTAGACGAAGAACTTCCTCGAGCTTTCGGTCTCAGACCTTCTAATTATTCCACTTTTTTGAATAATCAAGTTGTAATAAAAACAGCTTGTTTCGTAAAACCGTAGGGAACGGAATATACTCTAATAGTAAGGAAACTGTATCACAGAATTGAAGTTTATCTACATATTTCCTTAACACGCAGAGTTCTAGAAGTATCGCTCTTACGTACGCGAAACTGTGTCGAATTACATACGCAAATATCATCCAACACTTTAGTACTTGATGCGAGAACTTGGAGTTTAGTGTAGCAATAAGACATTGATGTTCTTCCATGTTCTTTCAAGTAAGACAACAATTTTCTGAATAAAATTAGCAAACAGCACAGGCGTATTCAAATACATTTGAACCTGTACATTACTTGTAATACGTTGTACTCTACACACTTTCAACATGCATTTGCACAAGTGAAATCGCACTTTTCTGAGAGCCATTGCGATCTAAAAAAAAGTAACTCGTCTATTAGCATTAGTGATAACCAACTCCTGTCAGTTCCTTCATCTTTTTTCAAATTATAATACTTAGACGTATTCGGTAAAATCAATGTTGGCTCCCACCGAGTACACATATCTATATTACCTTCATCGTAATGTATCTATCTTTATACTTTTATGTCTACAATTTTTATAACCTACTTTTTATACTTATACATATTTATATATACTCTTTCATATTTATAATTTTATTTAACGATTTATAATCATTGTTATTACATACTTGGAATATTTAGATACGTTAGAATCTGATAACGTAAAGTCAAAATGCAGGATATAATAGCAGAAGAGGCTTTTATATTTGTCTTACGAAACTGGCTATTCGTTGCGAAGGCACGAAACAAAGAGGGACCGGTCGGTGTAAATCGAGCGAGAAATGGAACGAATCCGCGCTCGGGAACAAGAGGAGAAAGATATACCCGACCGCTCGAGAAGGAATAGCATTAAAGTTACAAAAGTAATTACAGACGAATACTAGTTCTCGATTGTATCGAGCTTAGGGAATAAAGTCCGCGTGCCGGGGGTCGGCCCACAATCTTTCTTTCTCTTTCTCCTTCTTCGGTGCAGAAACTTTTCTTTCCGAAGTCGTAGCCGTAGGGAAGGAAGAGGCACGGTTCGCCCGTAGAAAATGCAAGTAACGATCCTTCTTCTTGCGAGAATGGTCCCGAACCAGACCCCATGGAACGTGCAGAGGTAGTAGAAGAAGAAGAAGAAGAAGAAGAAGAAGAAGAAGAAGAAGAAGAAGAAGAAGAAGAAGAAGAAGAAGAAGAAGAAGAAGAAGAAGAAGAAGAAGAAGAAGAAGAAGAAGAAGAAGAAGAAGAAGAAGAAGAAGAAGAAGAAGAAGAAGAAGAAGAAGAAGAAGAAGAAGAAGAAGAAGAAGAAGAAGAAGAAGAAGAAGAAGAAGAAGAAGAAGAAGAAGAAGAAGAAGAAGAAGAAGAAGAAGAAGAAGAAGAAGAAGAAGAAGAAGAAGAAGAAGAAGAAGAAGAAGAAGAAGAAGAAGAAGAAGAAGAAGAAGAAGAAGAAGAAGAAGAAGAAGAAGAAGAAGAAGAAGAAGAAGAAGAAGAAGAAGAAGAAGAAGAAGAAGAAGAAGAAGAAGAAGAAGAAGAAGAAGAAGAAGAAGAAGAAGAAGAAGAAGAAGAAGAAGAAGGAGTCAAGATGAATAGAGAGGGACGCGTCGAAGAAAGGAAAAAGAACGAAGCAAGGGAAGGAGAGAGACAGAGAAACAAGAAAAATAATGGAAAGAGCAGAGCACCCATAAAGAAGGAGAGGGAAAGGGGAGATAGCAGCGTGTATTATAGGTTTGCCGAGCCTGTAATCATCGCGGGACCGCGAAACGCCCATCGACGCCCTCTCATTCTGCCTCTCGCCATTCTATTTTCCTCTCTCCTTATTCGACCCATCCTCGGGCAGTTTTCTCTGGTTCTTTCGTCCTTGCTGCGCGCTCCCTCGTGTGTGTCTCCTCGTCCTATTCTCTCTTCCATCGCGCCGACTCTATAATCATTATCAACCTCTTCCCAAACCATCGTCTTCCATTTTTTTCCCTTCGTTCCCTTTTTCCCCCCCTTTATCTTCCCTTTTTTGTGTGTGTGTGTGTGTTTTTTTTTTTATTGTACCTCCGCCTTCCTTCTGCCTGTATCGCGGTATCGCGCTTCTTTTAATTCTGTTTGGAGCCGCGCGTGTGCTATTCATGGCCCGTCTCCCAACCGTGCTTTCCCCTTTTCCATGGATTTTAGCGTGTTCATGGCCAGCCTCGAATTCTATTAAGCTTCGTTACAAACTGGACGGCTATGCGGAATATAATGTGGACGCGTCGCGTGCCGCCAACGGCATTTCTGTGGGAATGAATTCGAAGGTTACGTGTGAGAAAATTGGCTCGACGGGAATTAGACAGGACGAAGTTTTGTTACGTTGAAACGGTGATTGTTAGCGGGAATTGGGGGCGAAGGTTCGGCGGTTTGCACTTGGTTTTCAGTTACCGCGGTCCGTTCGACCGATGTAGAAATTTCGAATGGTAACCGGGCCAGACAGAAGTTTGTTTAAGTACATACATGGATCTGCTTGTTTAAGTTCCAGTGAATTAGTCTCGATTCTTCTAGTTACCGATTGTTAATGTAAAAAAGCATTCCATTTGCAAGCGAATAATTAAACGAGTTTTTAACGGACAGTTAAGAACTCCTGTAACGTTTGCGAAGACACGTGCCTTTCTCCTTCTTTTCTCTTTCTTCTTTAACTTTAAATTACGCTTCAACGTATAACGGTTTATTTTCATAACATCAGCTTCTTTAGATTTTTTATGTCGTTGTCGAAATTTGCAACGACTTTCAAAGTTATCGAGTATAATTACAAATTCGCGGACAAGTATCGCAAATTTGTATGTAAAAAGCATCGGCAGATCTATTTTGCACGGTAGAAAAACACGCAAAACGCGTTATACCATCCCGTTGAAATATCGTTAAATTATATTGCGCATATCAAAATCACCGAGAATCTCTCGAACGCAATTCCGTCTCGCGGATATAGAGATTTTATTCACCGTAACGTAAACTGCCCTCCTCCCTCCCGAAATCTACGTATCGAAGCTCGTCGTTCGGCTGTCACGGGTGGAAAGTCGAAATCGATTATCGCGAACGGTCGCGTGACAATTGATAATAACCGTCGACGCGGGTAATTACGGTTTTGTCACGTTGATCGAACCGCAGGAAACACGTGGGTAATCCGTTGTTTCAGTCTATGCCGGTTGTCTGTTATTTAACCAGAGATTAACGGCTCTGTAAACGTATACTTCTGCTCGGATAGAAAACCGTATCTCTTCGTTCATTGTCGTCATCTCCAACATCATTCCTATGCATTAAATCGGTCTCGTAATATGTAGTTGCTCAAGGTATCGAATCTTGACACATAGTAGCTGTAAGTGTTTGAACGTTATGTAATATGTAACATTATGTAATGTAATAATATACAATATTATGTTACATAAATATTCTATAAGTATATTATGTGTTTTATATGGAACAATTTTAACGTTTCATGGGCACCGTAACGAGATAGGATTATCGTTATTATAACGATAAAAGTTTCAAATGTACTTGAAAATGTACATGGAAGTCGGAAAATATTTAGTGCAAATATAGATGATACTTGATATATGTATCTATATGAATAATATGAATATAGTTATACTTGATAAATTTTCAAACTTGATTCTCTGGAAGATTAAGCCGAGAGTGCACAAATTTGATTCTACATCTTTTTCTTATTTCTCCACATGGAATCACTTCGTGTCTGTTTTTACACGTTATACGGTTGGACCCTGTATATCTCGCAGAGATGATAAAAGTATTTAAAGAAACAAATGTGCGTTGCGTTCATGAGCCTCGATATATTCGGTGGGACCATACATCTTTAATATTAGGTTGTCCCAAAAGCTTCCTTCGTTTTATAAGGAAATAATAGATGCAAAACATTCTTTGTTTTATAGAATTTTATCGAATTATGTATGATCCATTTTATTCTATTAGAACAGATTATTTCCTTATAAAACTTCCGGGACTAACACTTATATACCTAAGATAACTAGTATTAACTAGATAATAGATTACACTAATTTTTGAAATAAGTTATTCAATATGTTTAAACGCTTTTATAATCTCTTCGAATTATGTCTATTTGCACTGAATATCTTGTAGCTTTTACGTACATTTTCAAATTAGTTTGAAATGTTCTCGACGCAATCATGGCAATCGTGTCAAATTTAAAACGTGATAATGTGATATCAAAATTTATCTGTACGATACACATAACGTGTAAAAATTGTCTACGATCGATACGTCACTTGGAAACGTATTCCTTTTCTTTTTTCTTCTTTTTTCTTTCATTCCTCAAATTCAAGAGATACGATCGAAACGCGATTATCGCTGACGATCTCTCGCGTCATTTTATAGCGCGTTATTTGAAACGAGCGTGAGTAGTGAGTACGCGTCACGAGAGCCGTAATTTTCGTCACGTTACAGAGGAGCTCGATATCGCCCGGTGATAAATACAGTCGTCCACGCACACCGCAGGAAACGCATCATTCCCATCATTCTCAGAATCACCACGACCATCCCATGCACATCAAGAAGATGAAGAAGGAGCAGGACAAGGACATCGGTCATGTAAGTGTTTGCACTGTATTATTGTTCTTGCTAAGCTTGTTGGTCTTCGTAATCTCGCGACCATTCTCGCTTCATTTTCGACCCAGTTTTGCTGCTGTTTCTTTAGAAAATTGTGATTCTCAGGGAAATGGAGTCGGAGTGAGAAATGGGGTCGAGAAATGAAAGATATACATAGGATAGAGCGTACATCATAAAGATTTGTTGAAACTGTAGATTACCTCTACGTGTTCAAATAAAGCAGTTAATATTAATCGTTTTGTTAAGATCTTTCCTCGAAATTTTCATAAATCACGTTATACGTACGATCGATATAATTTTCAACTAGGAAAATGTAAATAAACAAGAAAAATGAAATGCTATTAAACGAACAAAATCAGAATCACGATTCCTATATATTATTTATATTTATCTGACGAATATATTATTCAAGATAAAATATGTCTGTTGTTGTATCACGACGTTGATTGTGTATGAATGAAAACTTGTGACTTTATATATACGATGCTTTTCATTGCAGACATTGATGATAAACGTTCGAGTTTCCTTATCTGTCGCGATAATCGATCAAGTATCTGCTTTTGATTGATTGATTTATCAAACGATTATAAGGCTACGAATTAATTAGCGACATTGATGAAATTGGCATCAGGTACCGTTATAATTCCAATGCTAATAGGGCACGAAGGAAACGTTGAACCGTGATTGAAACTTCAAACAAGATAACACCGATTAACTCCGCCAATATGTAACTTAGATACAAACCGTGCAAGCTCAAACACACTTCAGCGTGAACAACAAACTTTCAGCGAGTCTTTCGATAAAACGAAAAACCGCGTCATCTTAAATTCCCCGGCTAGCACGAATCATTCAGACGTCACAAATTACGTTCGAGCGATTTTACAAAATCAGCAAATTATATTTTGAGGATCTTCTGAATTTGAGTAAATTATATATAATACCATTATATGCAGTAAGGTATTATAGAAACAATTCAATATATTACGAGTTTATAGCATTCAACAAGAGGAATATAAAATATCGTATCGATAGGTACAGGCCTTGAAAGTTTATCCTTTCGATGTTATATCGAATTTTGTATCGACCATATTTTTCAATTGATATGATACGTATATCGTGTTTAAATTGGACTCGATTTTAGCTCTGTGTTACGGCAAAAACAACTATGTACGTGTACACATGTAAAATGAAAATGCGTAATAACTATCAATACTGCCTTTGACTTAACTAGCGAGAAACTTCACCCTTTGCTATACTAAATTTTAATCTCGTTTCTACAACACTCCATGGGCAATCGATCATCGTTTCAGTTCTTAACCGTTCTATCTCCGTTACTTTTTGTAAACTGAGGAAACTAAGTTTAAAGTTTATGAAGTTTGACACTACGGTGTGTAGTTAGGATTTGAAAGAAACGAATATTTATCGCTCTCTAAGTAGAATTTTCATCGTATTACCAGGAATCCGCATTTTTTATATGAATTGATTTCTTTAAAAAATAGCGTTAGAACAGTTAAGAACTTGGCCGATAATACGTACAAGGTGTTAAAAAAAAAGGTACGAGACTCTATATCAATCAACATAAATCCTACGATCGATCCTTTTGACGCAAAACCGATTTTTATTATTTACGAACATTCGATGAACGACGATACTGTGAGTGAGTTTCTTCGTTGAACGTAAACACAGAGATTGAGCTCAATAGAACCATCCAATAAATTGTAATCAAGTACGTTAGTGCTCGAGTAGATGTGAGCATCTCATTGCAATGAGATGAAAACATGGAACATTTGCTGCACAAGGAACATTTTTACTTCGTTTCGCGTCTATGAAACAATGCTCGTTGATAATGGTAGCAATTTCCTGTTGATAATCTTGAATCGACGCATTCCTGAATCAATTCGTTTGTTTACATTCAACGAAGAAACTGGAACATTCGTAAATGATAAAAATTGATTTTACGTGGAAAGAATCGATCGCAGGACCAGTGTCGATTTTTTTGATCCAAAAGAGCAAAGAATGCGCTATAGTATTGTAGTATCGTGGACGAGGGGCCTGGGGGGGGGGTGTCGTACGAATTATAAACAAACGGTTGCTGAGCACGTGTACTACAGTATAAACACACTTAAAGTCTTCAACACATATTTTTGAACACCCTGTGTAACTTTTAACTATACCTAGCCACGTGTAAGAACATAACGAATGGCGAAATAACCTATCGACCATCGTATATCTGCAGAGCGACGGCGAGAAAAGCGATCAGGACCTGGTGGTGGACGATGCCAGCGAGGGACCAACGAGTCCGGTTGTAAACGGTACTACGTCACCCCGAGAGAACGGTCTGGATAAAGTAACACCGATAGGTGCCGGAGTTCAGACAAAGAAAGATGTACCTCCACATTCACCAAGAAGTGGAACGAGCAGCAACGCGAGTACACCGTCGGCCAAGAAAATGGAGGAACGAGAGAAACCAACGACACCGATCTCCAAGCCTTTGACACCGACCTCAGGCTCGGCGATCGGTGGCAGTTTGAAACCATCGGGATCGGCGAAGCTACTTCAGGGACCACCGCCTCCCGGTGTACCAAGCGCGTATCCGCCACACTACGCTCCCGGCCCACCGCCTCACCATCTGGCACCAGCTGGACAGCATCCTCATGTCGACATGATGGGTGGTTATAACGGCTACGTGGCGCCTAGAGCACCACCTTCGCTTCAACAGCTCTACGATCCCCATGTTGCCATGAGAGCTCCCATGGGATCCGTTGGAGTACCCGGAGGCAAACCGTAAGTAGACATATGCAGTTTCTATATTCCTATTATCGCGAGCAGATTGCGGATTCTTATGCAAATTTCTATTTTCATGAATACGATTAAAGAAATTTGAAGTTGAAGGAAAATTGGTCTTGTCTGTTAGATATGAAAAAGAAAAACGTATTTTCAAGGTTTCGCATACTTTTGCATATTGTATTGCATATTGTGTTCATTTTCTATGAAGGACGAATATCGGATAAAAATCCGCCGTCTAATCGCGAAGTTCGTAAATTTAACGCACTCGCTGCTAGAATGACTGTTATATCTGTGATTATTAATTTTCTCGTTGATCGAGCATTTCTTCTTTCAAAGTCAGAAGCGTGTTTGTTACGAGTAACGTTATGTTTACGATAGATTTTTCGCAATTGATTAAAGACAGTAGCAGCGAAAGGGTTAAGTTGGTGAACGTTGTTAGTTTTTCTTAGTACCGTAGAATTCCATTGATCTGAATACTATTTATTGAAACGAAATTTTAGTCAGCGCTGGATTATCTGAATTCCTGACGATTGAATGATGACCGATCTGAACGTGAACTACTATTATGTAAATGAAAAATAGTAAGTAGCGAGAAGAATTGGTAAACTCTTATTGTACGAACTCTACTTACATGAACTGTTTTTTATCTCTCAACAAGTTCGGATAAATGGAGTTCTACTTTAAGTTAGTTCTCAGAATTAGTAGAACTAATGTCTGCTGAGAACTAATGTCGGAATTGTCAATGCCAATATTTGCGACCAATTAAATTCTCGCCGATCTTTAATATTAATTTTTACATAGAACGTAATATGCACTAATTAATGTAAATAATTACACGCTTAGAAATATTTCGTCGGTGTTTTCGAAAGATGATATTTTTGAAATATAAAAAATGAATCATGAAAATTGTTTCTCTTTTATTCCACACGTAGCTCATACTTTTCAAAATATTTTCCTGCAACAATGCATTCAGTTCTTAACACCCGAGCACCTGACCATTTAATGTTTTTTCCCCAATACCAACTGCGCGTTTTGTCAACCAGTGTTTCCATAAATATTTTATAACGTATCATGCGTGATATATTTTTCAAATAACTTCAAATTTTATATATATATACAATATCCTCTTTTTCCTACTACAACTCAATCGTATTTGAATTGTAATAAAAAAATACTCGTAACCTAATCCACGTACCATTATTCACGCTATGGAAGATTCTATCGAAAGATTCTATAATATTACATGGATCGTACGAAGAAGTCTTCTAGGCTTCGTAGATTAATTCGTATTACATACGATACCGTGATAAAGATTAATTTTACTGGTACAATCCAATTGATAGTGAAAGATCAAAATAACAGAAAAATCCTTTTAATTATTTTCAACAACGTATTTAGACCAGACTGCCTAAAGTCAAATCTCATTATTTAAACCGATAAAAGTATGAAACGAATAACAATGTGTCGCGTTTATCTTATAGCTAATACCACGAGATAGTGGTAAATTTAACGATACACGATGATGTAAGGTATATAAGCAGTTTCGAAAACGAATCTGGAATAGGCGAAGGCTGAGCGACACGAAGCTGTTTGCTTTCCGAAGCAGATTATAAAAATTCGACAGAACGTTCCGCGATAAGATAATTGGATTAAATGTTCTGAAGCCTTAAATCGAGGATTATTAAGGGGGAATATGTATTTGACACAATTACTCGTCGTGACGATAATAATCTCTCAATCAATAAACCATTCGAAATTACCTACGTAGAAAGTGGAACTTTCCAATATACAATTTTCCATTTACGATTTCCCATTTCTCTTTTTGTAAAAAAAAAAAAAAAAAAAATTATATGGAACGATACTAACGATTCTTGGTAAGCAATAAAAATATACGCTTTATATTTTTTAATGAAAAATCGAACATCCATATAATACGGTTTTTGTTAACGTTGTTTGATATTCGGTCTGCTTGCCACCCGGGGCTCGTTATCTACGGCTTTGTTTGCTACGAAGATTCACCAATGCTATTGTTTATTGTAGCCACGGACGGTTAAAATACGACGCGTTATCGATATTTTTATTTTAAAATGCAAATGCCAGTGCAGTATGATTAATGCTCAAGATAAAGATTGATGAAATGCGAGATTTCTGTGCAATTAGTATGTACACATCCTATTTATGGAACGCATTAATGCACTTTAGGCGTATAAGATAATTTTCGGTGTCCTTTCTTCTTTCTATAAATTCTCTGTTTTCGAAATGTTTCATTATGAGAGATACTGAAAGGATCAGCCTCTTTCGTAGTCTAAAAATATCCACGAGAATATCCTAAAACTACATCCTAATTTTATTAAACGAGTCGTTAGTTAATCCTCCATAGGCAAAGTTAAGACCAGAAATTCTTTTACAAAAGAATTTTTATCGCTATCGAAAAAAATTCAAACACTCGATTTAACAAACTATTGTATAACGAAATATAAACGTTGATCAGCGTTGAAGAATTTTTCTAAATTTTGTTGAAAGCCTGAAAAAATAAGAAAACCAGGTTTACACGTAAAGAGACCACTTTGCCTATTCGATGTTAATTAATCGAATTTCTCAACCGACCTATTAAATTCTATAAAACCTTCCTAGGGAGAAAAAAAATCATTTTCCCTCAATTTCACGCCCTTTGTCACATCCAAATTACACTTTCACTCAGTTTGCCCGTGCAGTGTTAACTAAATTCCTCAGTCGTTCCATTAAATTCTACAAAATATTACGCGCTATTATTCCTACGAAAAGAGTCATCCCTTCCCAATCGTTCCGCTCGTGTTAGCGCTCGTAGTTTAAATCCATCTACCAGTTTCCCAAAGACAGAGAGCGACAGAACTAAAAAAAAAAAAAAAAAAAAAAAAAAAAAAAAAGAAAAAAAGAAGTAAAAAAGAAAGTCAGTCTGATGACCAAAATCAGGCAAAATCCTGTCTCTCGATTAACTTCTCCAATTTCGTTGAACGATCGTTGCCCGAACGCGGGTCGCGTCGAACGTGTCAGCGAGCGGAACAGCGAATGGATGGTTGACAGACGCGTGTTCACCGCACGAGTCGCATTTTTCTGGATGTTTCAGCGCGTACAGCTTCCACGTGTCGAGCGAGGGCCAGATGCAGCCGGTGCCCTTCCCACCGGATGCGCTCAGCGGACAAGGGATACCACGTCATGCGCGGCAAATTAATACCCTCAGCCACGGGGAGGTCGTGTGTGCTGTCACGATCTCGAATCCGACCAAATATGTGTATACTGGCGGCAAGGGATGCGTCAAGGTCTGGGACATTGGCCAGGGCGGTACAGGAAGCACCAAGTCGGTCTCCCAGCTCGATTGTCTACAACCTGACAACTATATCAGGTGAGTGGTTCTGCGAAATTTTTAGATTTCTTCTACTCTTTTCAATTATTTTGTGACGATTAATATTAAGAGAAGGAGAAACGTTTTCCGCGTATGTAACATTCTAACGTTAGAACTATGAAAAGTATGAGGTTGCGTTAGTTGAAATGAAAACTTTTATGTAACGAAGAGAACGGTACTTACTACTTCGTTGGTCAGGTAAATGTAGAAATGTCAATAATTCAACACCACCGATCGTAGGTATTCTTGCTTAATTGAATTGGATATCCTAACGTGACTACTTGATTATCAAATTCTATTATACCCTTCGTTTTCATACATTATGAATTAACGACAAGTAATTTAGTTACATACACGTCTTTCTGCATATTTTTACCTGCAATTTAATTACTTTCAATATCACACTCGGTTATGACGTTCTATTCTTTACGTATTCTATCATTTATATATTATCAATTGCACCGCGGAAGATCTTCTTCGAATCGATTTAGAGATCACGCGAAGCACACACGCAAAACAACGCAATAAACATCTATAAAACGTAATGAAGCAATTTCTTTTTAATAAAACAATTGCGAGATTCTAGCAGCGATGCGAATTAATTTGATCAAACACCTGGCGAACGCTCTTACAATAACACGAACGAAATTATGCAAGCCACACGGTTTTATTTCGTAAAAGCAGGCCGGCAATCAGCACAGAATCAAACGAATCAATCGGAACGGCGTACAAGAGGGGAACGAGGGGAAAAGATGGCCAGGAGCGAACGAAACATCGACATAATGAGATTCGATGTATTCGTTGCACGGAACGTCGAAAAATCGCGGCGAAGTGTCGGGTTTGCATAGAACAAACGGGACAGCGCGACGTTTTCACGATACATTTCGCGCTGGATGCACGTTTTAACGTTGGAATATGGCCGCATGTATAATATCGCGCTCGTATATGACTGTTAATGTTCGCGATACGCTGCCGGTAATTGAAGCCCGGCCGCGTTTTTTGAACGTACGGCCGAGCCACCGGCAAATTTAATACATTTCGTCCGGTAATGCATGCTCTACCTCACCCTCCCCCCTTCGTCGCTCCTCTTCTGCATTAAAAGGTACTTTATGATCCATCGGTCACAGTTGCTAATCACGGCCGCTGCAGTCCGCCCGATTTCGACACGGTCCACCGCGTAAAAATGATTACCACTTTTAAAACCCTGTCAAACCGAGCGAAACGAGCGGAATTCGCGACGCGTCGCCTCATCTCCAGAATGAATTGCAGTCACACAACGTTTTATTTATACGGAATATTCGACTGGATTTGGTTTGTCGATCGATCGAATCGCGCGGATTTTCACACTTGTGCGAATGAACTCGTTGTAAAGTGATTTTCGGCTTGTTGGCAACGGTGAGTCTGGTTGCCACATTTTGGCGAAGTTGCCTTACGCACAGTATTTAAAGACTAGTTTTGAACAAAGGGATTAAAAAGATTAGAAAATTTCAGCGTTGTCGGTGAAGATATAAAGATTGCGACTCAGCAGAGATAGAAATCTACGAAAACTTCGTCCTAAATTTAACGAAATACCTGTATCAAAAAAAAAAAAAAAAAAAAATAAGAGAAGGTACAATCCTGTAGAAATCAACGGATAACGCGTTCCTCGATATCTTCCTTAAACCAAACAAGCGCAGACAAGCGCGAAACAAACTTGCCAAAACTTAGAACCAAACCTACGATATAACGAAACGTACGTATGTTATATCCAGGTCAGTGAAACTGCTACCGGATGGTAGAACGCTGATAGTTGGCGGTGAAGCTAGTCGGCTGAGTATCTGGGATCTGGCGAGTCCAACACCAAGGATCAAGGCCGAGTTAATCTCTGCCGCCCCCGCCTGTTACGCTTTGGCGATCTCGCCGGACTCGAAGGTCTGCTTCAGCTGCTGCAGCGACGGCAGCATCGCCGTCTGGGATCTTCAGAATCAGACTCTGGTCAGACAGTTCCAAGGTCACACGGATGGAGCGTCCTGCATCGACATCTCCGCCGATGGCTCGAAATTGTGGACCGGTGGATTGGACAACACGGTTCGCTCGTGGGATCTTCGAGAAGGCAGACAACTCAAGCAACACGACTTCACCTCGCAGATATTCTCTCTCGGCTACTGTCCCACGGGAGAATGGTTGGCCGTTGGAATGGAGAATTCAAACGTCGAAGTGTTGCACGCCTCCAATCCGGACAAGTATCAGCTGCACCTGCACGAGTCTTGCGTATTGTCGTTGAGATTCGCATCGTGCGGCAAGTGGTTCGTCTCCACTGGCAAGGATAATCTGCTAAACGCGTGGCGCACACCTTACGGAGCATCGATATTCCAGGTAAGCCTTTTTGCGATTTAGTAGAATATTCGACAGATAGTGTAGTTTCATTTGACTTTTTGTTTCTTCATTGATCGTTTTGTTTCTTTAAATTTCCACATCTTCGCTTTTTGCACGATCTGTTATGTTCGACAAACGTGAGTACCTAGGCTAATGCGCAGAAGTAGCCAACCGCTTGATCGTTTACGAGAAAAAATGTACTTTAGTTATAGGAGATCGATCAATCTTGCTTATTTACGATACAAAATGTATTTTAATTGCAGAGTCGATCTTGCTTATTTCAATTACATCTGTTTGGAATAATTTTCTATAATAATATGCCAAGGTTCTGCTGTCTTTCTTTTTTTTTTTAAATCTTCTGTGTTTTGAGTGGCTTTTCAATCAGTTTCCATGACTTCCCGGAATACGCATTAAGATATTTTATGCGGAAATTGTCAATGCACGAGTTGATTTGTTCGTCTAAATCGGAGTCATGGTTACCCCTTGTCACATAGATCGTATATCATTCAAAACGTAAAAAACAATGTGTCGCGAAGGAACAGATTTCAAATTCTAATTGAGCGACGCTTCTAACGGCGCCATAAAAAAAAAAGAAAAAATAACGCAAAAAGGAAATAAGATCCGTAATGCAAATCGTTAATGTCCTTTACATTTTGCACGATTTCTTCGATGACCAAGCTGTTTCGATATAAAAAGAACGCGGAAAGAAATGTATATGAATTGGACTATAAGTCTTGGCATCGTATATTTTTACGCAATTCTTTAACAACCAGTTAACTCACGAAGGACGTATCTTGTATGATGTTTTCAGTCAAAGGAATCGTCGTCTGTACTCAGCTGCGATATATCAGCGGACGACAGGTACATCGTTACCGGTTCAGGTGACAAAAAGGCTACAGTCTACGAGGTGATGTACTGAACGACGAAACCGCAACGACCGAACACCACAACCGAACGTATTCATCCGACTTGGAGGACTCCCGTTGGCGTGGATGTACATAATTCTTATACGATATTACGAGAGACGTTTGTTGCCGTTGTTCTTGTTATTGTTGTTGTTGTTGCTCTTGGTGAAGAGAGGGTCCGTGCAAGAATGAAAACGAGCCGAACGAACCGGAAAGCAGAAACGCGTGAAACGAATAAAAGAATTCGATGGAAATGAACGAAACGCGATTAAATTATATTGCTCGAGTAATTTCGTAAGAGACTTTGAAACACGTTCGTGACATCGGAGAAACAGACGAAGCGGAAATGGAAGACGTCGTTTCGTTCCTCGATCGAATTGTCCTTCTTACGACGAGAAGATGAGGTCTCGTGAAAGAAACGAACGTTTCGAAAACGGCAGACTCGAAAATCATACAGTTCGTTCCGCTCGTTGCGCGTTCAGCCGCCACTTGGGCGGTGGGATCGCGTATTAATTAAAAACAAACGTTGGCATTCGTACCGCGTTTTCCTCCTTGTACATTTTGTATATACGTATATATATTATATATATTATATATACATACTTCAGTCTTTAAGTATACCATGATATTTTTCTACGTCCCTTAAAAGTGAGACGGAACGTGAGTAATGAAAAATAAGAGAAACCACATACACATACACGAACATACACAAGCGCGCGCGCGCACGCACCCACTCACGCACGCACACAGAGAAACATGAACACACGAGAAACTAAAAAAAATTTGTAAATATTGTCTGGCTTAGAGAATAATAACAGAATCGTGACGAGAGACGATTAAATAAAAAGTGATACTCGATAACGAACTCGCTGATCCGATTCATTCCTCTCCCTTCGACTCTGCAATCCTATGAACCGTCATCGAAAAACAACAAGCGAAAATAAAACAAAGGAAACGAGAAAAAAAAACAGAGTATTTACAGAAAAGGGGAGGGGGGTGATTGGTATAAAAAAAAACAACGCAGAGAAATAGAGTTTCGATGGGAAAAAATAACCTCATATACGCGGCGGGAGAGCGTGCGCGC